TGGAGACTTAGATCAATTGGTAGAGTGCTTGACTAGCATGCAACAGGATTCCGGGTTCAATCCCCAGAACCAAATAAAACAGGTGTGGTGAAGCATGCCTGTGATCCCAGCACTAGGGAGATAAAGGCAGGAGGATACGAAGCGGCTACATAGTGAGCTAAAGGCTGGCCAGGGATATGTAAGATCCCGATTAAACAAACAAACTCCCAGGCTCCTGAGAAGTACCAGCAAGTAAAGATGCTGTCACCAAGGCTGGCGCCAGAGAGTGTGATGCTCAGGACCCACATAGGGGAAAGCAAGAAACAACTCCTGCAAGTCATCCTTTGATGTCTACACATATGGCATGCAAGAACACACACACACACACGCACACGCATGCACACGCACAGAGAGAGAGAGAATTGGGAAGTAACATAAAAGCCAAATGTGGTATACCTTTGTTGTCCTAGCGCTTAAGTAGTGAAGGCAGGTGGATCAAAGTTGGAAGTTATCCTTGGCTTCATAGTGAGTTTCAGGCTAGCCTGGCCTACAGTAGTAGGCTTTGTCTCATTGTTCACAAGCAGACAATGGATACCAGCTACACAGTGCACCCACACCCTCCAAAGTGGCCCAACAGATGAGTCAACACGTATCTGTCTGGTGCCTGCCAAGGCAAGGCCTTTATGGCGGTTTGGGAGACAGTTTTGGGTTTCTGAGCCATGTCCTTCCTCTCTCCTAGTTAGGACAGTTCTTTCCATTGAGGGCCCACAAAACCCATGAGGGGAGAGGAGGTTCACACCCTTTCCCCTGTAACACCTGGCCAGGCCACCTCTTGACAAGACAGACTGAGTGGTACCTTCCAGAGACTCATGAATGGGACAGAGAGGGAAGCCTTTTCCTGTGGAAGACCAAGAGTAGCACCTTTGTAGAAAGGGAGCTGGGGTAAGGAGGATGCATAGTTGGTGGGAAACAGCTGAGGGGTCCTGCCCTCTCTCCCCACCCCACGATATGCAGACAGGGCTGTGCGTGTGCCTGTGCGGCTGGATTATGGAACCCCACGGGAGGGGAGGGAGCCCCAGGTCCCTAGACACCTGGAGTAAAGCTAAGTGCATGCCTGGAGGCTTGGGATGACAAGTGAAAGAGGTTCTAGGATAGAGAACTTTTAGGGATACAAGACAGGAGGGGCTTGAACATGAAATTCATGAGCAGAGGATGTGGCGTGGGAAGACTGGAGAGTCAAGGGGAGGGTTGAGGCAAGCCCAGAGCAGAGTTACAAGGGTCAGATTTGGACCTAAAGAGTCAAGGGATGTGGGATGCTGGATCACGGGAACCTACAGAGTGAGTTCTAGATTCTACAACAAGAAACATTCTACAAGCCCATTGGGAGTCTGCATTCTAGAACTTGAAGTAGATCAGAAGAAGCCAGAGGCTCAGAACCCCAGCGATCCGTGAGTGATGGCAGAAGTAGAAAAGGCCTAGGACGGGGCGTGTTCTCAGCTGGTAGAGTGCTTGCTTGCCATGAACACAAAGCTGAGTTTCCTGCCTGGCACCACAAGAAGTGACTGTGATGGTGCACACTTGTAACCCTGGCAGTTGAGGTGGAGGCAGAGGATCAGAAGTTCAAAGTCATTCTTGCCTACAAAGTGAGTTGGAGGCCACCCTGAGCTACATGAAATCCTACCTCCTCTCTAGGAAAACAAAACAAAACAAACAAACAAACAAAATACCCAAAATCTAAGTTCTAGAATCCACAGGGATTTTAGGGATCTTACAATCTAGAATTAGAAAGAGTTGGGGTTCTGAGGTTTAGAACTAGAGAAATCTATAAGGCAAGACATTATCAGATGCTGCTTTCAAGATGTGTTCTACATTCAGGGTAATTTGAATCATAAGATCTGAAGTAAGGAGGACTTGGCAGTTGTGGGGTCTAGAACCAAAGGAACCCATGGGATGAGGTCTACATTTGGAAGACATTTATAGAGGCTGAGTGTAGCTCAGTTGATAGAGCACCTGCCTAGCATGCATGAGGCTCTGGGTTCAATCCCCAGAACCACATAAACCAGACATTCATGTAATCCCAGCACTTGGGAGGTGGGTGAAGTGGTATCACAAGTTCAAGGTCATCCTTGACTACATAGCAATTTAGTGGTCAGTGACTTTTGAAACACTGCTTGAAAACAGTAACAGACCCAGAAGATTTTTTTTGTTTGTTTGTTTTTCAAGACAGGATTTCTCTGTGTAGCCCTAGCTGACCTGGAGCTTGCTCTATAGACAAGGATGGACTCAACTCACAGAGATCCGCCTCCCTCTACCTCCCAAGTGCTGGGATTAAAGGTGTGCACCACCAACCCCTAGCTTGACATTTGAAGCTCAGTAATAGGCAGATTACCAGGTCATCAGAGAACAGAGAATCCTGGAAGTTTCAAGGTCTAGAGTTTGCATAGTCCAAAACCTGGGGATGATGGAGGTAGTGAAATCTAGAACCCAAGAGAATGGGCACATGATGTCTGGTTCCAGAGGAGCTGGCTGCAAGTTCAAGACATAAAACTCACTTTACCCTTCCTTACTTGGGGAAAGCAATTCTTAAATTCTTGAGTGCAGAAACCTGAAGAGAAATAAGATAGACATTGTGAGGTTTGGAACCAAAGTGATCTAAAAATGAGATCTAGATTTGAAACCAACTATCTTACAAATCAAAAGACTGGTACCAACGGGAAGCTTGGAGTTGTGGGATCCAGAAACAAGAAGGAATCGTCAGTTATAGTAGGATCAACTGGACTCTGTCTCAAAGGCCTGAAAGTCCCAACTACTTGGGAGGCTGAGGCAGGAGTCTAATGAGTTCAAGGCCTGTCTAGGTTTACGGAGTGAGTTCAAGGTTAGTCTGAGCAATTGATCAAGATCCTTTATCAAAATAAGAGATAAAAAAAAGGACAGAGGTTATAGCTCACTGGTAGAGTGTTTGCTTAGCAGGTACAAAGTCCTGGTTTTAATTCTCAATACCATACATGCAAATGGTCTGCAATGACAAGCAGCAGAAGGAATGGGAAACCAGAGAGATTTTTAAGAAGCCTAGAACCAGAGGAAATTGCAGAATGAATTTGGTAGCAAGAGGATTCTGGTGATTGTAGGCTCTAGACTCAGAGAGCCTTACAGATTATGTAACTCAAACCACACTTTAAAACACTGAGGTTTGGAAACAGAATTGGGAGCTGTGACAGCCAGCCCAAGAAAGAGCTGAAGAGTATGAGATCTGGAATTAGAGGGGTTTGAAGAAACTGAGGTCTGTAGAAGACCATGTTGGAGGTGATGCAGTCTTGAGATAGGGGGGAAGTCAATGGCAGCAAAGTCTAGAACCAGGGAATGCCAGAGAAGGCTAGTGGTCATATAGTTTGGAACCAATGAAGACCAGAGGCATCATAGCCTAGAATAAAAGATGGTCACAGGCTGTACAGACTAGAACAGCAGTTCTCAACCTGTGGGTTTCAATTCCTTTGGGGGTTGCATAAAAGATATCCTGCATAGCAGATATTTACATTATGACTCATAACAGTTGTAAAACTATAGTTGTAAAATTATAGCAATAAAACAGTTTTATGGCTTGGGGTCACCACAACACAAGGAACTGTATTAAAGAGTTGCAGCATTAGGAAGGTTGAGTGAGAACCACTGCTCTAGAACCACAGAAGATCAGAGGGCCCACAGTCTAGAATCAGAAAAGTGGCATGGTCTAGAACCACAGCAGGGTCATAAGGTGTGCTGTCTAGAATCAGGCAAAACACCAGCAAATGTACAGACTAGAGAGAAGATTAGAGGTTACATAGTTTAGAACTGAAGAGGGCAGGAATAACACAGCTTAGAACCATGGAGGACAGAGGCCACAGTGTCTAGAATAAGGGAAGGGCAAAGGTCATAAGCCTAGAACCAGAAGAGACATAATGGCATAGTCTAGAGCCAAGGAAGCCTGCAGGCCTCAGAGTCTAGAAACAGAAAAAAAAAATGAGGGGTTTGGAGTCTAAGAACCAGGGAAAAGTCATGGATTTGTACATTTTAGAACCAGGAAGTAGAAACTCCAGAACCAGCGAGCCACAGGTCTGGAGAACCAAGGAAGGCTCAAGGACATACAATCTAGAACCAGCAAAGACCAGGGGCTGCATGGTCTAGATACAAGGAAGGCACTCGGTCTCACTGTGTAGAACCAGGGGAGACAGAAAGTAGAATAGCCTAAGACCAGGGAAAGCCAGAGGCCGTATAGTCTACAAACAATGAAGTTAGGAGTCAAGTATTCTAGATCCAGGGAAGGTCAGATACTATGGGTCTGCTGAGTGGAGGAAGTTGGTGGCTACTCCTAAAACAGGAAGATCACAAATGAAGTCATTATTCAGGCCAGGTTGGTGCTGGCAGGAAGGCAGGAGGGGAAAGGACAGGCAGAGCCGGGTGGCAGCTCAGGAGGCAGAGACTCCACAAGTCGCTGAGGGCGAGAGGTCTGATCCTGATTTGTCACCGAGGAGGGGGCAAGAGCAGAGACCCACATTGCTGTGGACCCTGTGCAACGCAGTGTCTGAATATATCATCGAGAAGAAGAGGACAAAGTAAAGCTGATAGGAGAGTGATGGGAAATGAAAACAAAACATAAAACCAGAAACAAAAATATGAATATGATGGTTCAAACTCCACGGAGCCAGGACCAGAGACAGATCGCAGACTCAACCAAGACCTCACTCTCCCAAACAAAGCAAAGAGAGTCAGAGAAAGGGACAGTGAGGTACCCAACTATGGAGAACCCTAAGGGAAGTCCTGAGAGGAGGTGGAGGGGGCCACACACCCCCTCCCAGAGGTCACTGAGCTGCAAACACTCCAAGAAGCCCCTGAATGGGAGAGGACTGGGGGGCGCTGAGGTAGGACTGAGGCTGGCCGGGGGGTTGGTGAGGGACACTCAGAGGAGAGAGGCCCCATCCCGGGTGTGGGCTGCTGGTGTGGAGTGTGGCTGAGTCCTTTGGGGTAGAAGGGAGCCGGAAGCTGACTCAGTGGGCCTGGGCCAAGCTTGCTGCTGATGGGATGTGGTTCCTAGACTGGATAGTTTCCTCATGTTGGTAGAGAGAGAGCAGCGAGGGAGCTAGGCCTGCAGGAAAAAGGGAAGGTAAATCAGGAGAGAATTAGCACCCAATCATATATGCACCTGAATAAGAAGCAGGAAGGCAGGCTGGCAAGATGGCTCAGGGGGTATAGGTGCCTGCTGCAAACCCTGACCACTTGAGTTTGATCCTTAGGAGCCATATATCGGAAGGTGAGAACAGACCACTCAGTTCCATCCTCAGGATCCACCTGAAACTTTTGATAGCTACAAGGGAAGATCACCACAAAAGGATGATCAAACAATCCCAGCACTCGGGATGCAGAGGCAGGTGGATCTCTGTGAGTTTGAGGCCAGCCTGGTCTACTGAGTGAGTTCCAGGACAGGCTCCAAAGATATAGAGAGACCCCGTCTCAAAAAACCAACAACAAAACGGCGAATGAGCGAAAGGCTGAAGGTCTACCATCACCCCACCCTGCAGCCACAAGGGAGGTGTTTCTTGAGCACTTACTGCATAACAGTTCTTGGGTGAATTGTGCCCAGTGCAGCATCCCCATAACTTAATTTCTTCAAACAGGTCCTCCAGGTAAGAACTGTAGTCATGACTCTCACTGATGGACAGGGGAGCTGAGGCTTCATAGCAACTGTCCCAAAGCCATGTGGCTGAGAGCTACCTTGTGGAGTTACTTCAACTTGGTTAAGCTTCGAAGTGGAGCCCTATCTGGGTCCAAAAGACCTTGGCTTCCACCCTAAGAGGAAGCCTTGGTAAGTTCTTAACCTCCTTAGGAAGGTCTGTAGGACATTTTCTTAATTAGTGATTGATGGGTGAGGGTCCAGCCCATTGTGGATGGAGTCACTCTTAGGCTGGTGGTCCAAGGTTCTATCAGAAAGCAGGCTGAGCAAGCCATGAGGAGCAAGTCAGTTAGCAGCACCCTCTGTGGCCTCTATATTGGCTCCTGCCTCCAAGTTCCTGTTCGGCTGGAGTTCCTGCCCTGACTTCCCTCTATGTTGGACTACAGTGTGGAAGTGGATGTGAAATAAATCCTTTCCTCTCCAAGTTGCCTTTGGTCATGTGTTTCATCACAGCAAAAAAATAACCCTGAGATACCCTCATCACCTACCCCTAAGAGGGGTTCCATTCTTCTCTTAATCATGTGCAGAACCATGGTGTGTGTGTGTGGGGGGGGGGACCTGAAGCTTTTGTATACCCAGGCTGTTGTGACTCACCCAAGGGCTCATGGGAATCCAGAAGTGGGGTTCTGGGATCCTGCTGGTTCCCCAGGAACTGTCGACCTTGCAGGAGGAAACTCTGGGAAATTAGGGAGACAGAACTGTCATTACACCATCATCAGCAGCAGCATCATCACTATTCGCCGGGTTAGAATCAACGGCACCACAGCGTCTTTAAGACCATCTGCATCACCTCTATCACTAGCATCAGCAGTACCAGCACCATCGTTAGCATTATCATCAGCATCACCACCATCAGTATCATCAGCAACCAGCACCACCATCATCCCAACCACCACCATCATTTATATGATAAGACAGTACGGTACAGGAGTTAACTGGAGTCTGAGTACTAGTCATCCAAGAGACTTGGGGAAAAATCACTGTTCTAGATATCCTCCAGGTGTTCCTCCTTCCTTTCTCTGCCTCTGTGCCCCAAGAGGCTGACTCCATTGCTGGGCAACTTTGCTGTTTTCCTGCTGTACTCAGAAGACAAGCAACCCTAGCAGGTATGGGAGGAGGAAGGTGGCATTCTAGCTGTTTCCCTGCGGGGCTGTAGGTAGTAGGTTGGCTGTGTACCACTCCGGAAGGTGTTAGGCCTTGATCGATAGAGGTAGTGCTGGCCCCAATGCTACAGAATCTTTGTGGACTTGCACACACTGTACTCACACCACCGACAATCTTGTTGTTAAATTCTCAGCACACCATCTAGGTGTGCTATCTAGACTGACTGATAAATACTGCTTAACTTCCTCCGTGTAACTGTCTCACCATAATCAAAATGACATTGATTTATTTAACCTTTTTGTTTGTTTGTTTTTGTCCTTTTTTGTTTTGTTGAGACAGGGTTTCTTTGTATTGCTTTGGAGCTAGCTGGAACTCACTCTGTAGACCAGGCTGGCCTCGAACTCACAGAGATCCACCTGCCTCGGCCTCCCAAGTGCTGGGACTAAAGGCGTGCTCCACCAACACCCTGCCATTTATTTAAACTTTTTTTGAAACAGGGTTTCTTTGTGTAGCCCTGGCTTCCTTGGAGCTCATTCTATAGACCAGGCTCAGGCTGGCCTGGAATTTACAGAGATCCACTTGCCTCTGTCTTCAGAGTGCTGGGATTAATGGCATGAGCCACCACACCTGGCTAAATGAATTAATCTTGTGAGGTAGGTATTGCGGCTAGGATCAGCACACAGTAATGAGAGCTACTGACATTATCATTCGCACCCTTCACATTCAAACAGTTCTTGTAGACTCTGGAGCTGATTCTTTGGGACACAGGGAGATGTTAGACAGAGGCACTGTGGATGTCACACAATCCAGGGAAGTTTTACGAAAGGAACCGGATTTTGCTGTTGTGCACAATAGATCTTTTTTCTTGCTTTGTTTTTTGAGACAGGCTCTAACTGTGGAGTTCATGCTGACCTCAATCTGTTCATCCTCCTGCCTCAGTCTCTCTAGGGCTGGGGTTATGGGCGAGGCCACCAAGCTCAGTGTTTATTCTTTACACTCTGCATGGGTACTCCAGATCTGAGGCATCTCATTTTAGAGGGGGACCCATGGAGGCAGAGAAGGTTCCTTCTCATCCGAAGAACTCCCTCACTCCTCTTTGACCTACTTCGCGTCTCTTCTTGGTGTCAGTCATGTGTTAGCAAAGTCATTTCATGCCCATTAGCAGATTTAAGAAGATCAGAGTCCGGTCTGCAGCTGGACCATTGATTTTCCATCTGACCTTCAGCCAGCCCCTGGCCCTCTCTGGTTTCCCCATCTATAAAACAGGAGGTTTGAAACCTGCTAGGTTCCGAGGGTTGAAGAACCCCACTCCCGACTCTCTAAACTTACCAGGCTGAGGGGAGGCAGCCGGAAGCTTCCAGGTTCTAGGCTGGGGGACCGCTTGGCAGGCTTCGTTTCCAGCTGCTCTGCCCCTTTGTCCTCTGAGCTCTGGGACAGTGCCCTGTAGAGACACAGACAATACTCTCAAAATACAGCAAAGCTGGGCAAGTGTGGGTACCCACGTGGGAAGCAGATGCCTTTCCCAAACAACTGTTTAGTCCTTTACACACAGGCCCACCAAGCCACCCATCTGCCCACCAACCACCCTGCATTCATCTGCACCGTGACCTGTCCATTTCCACAGAATGCACCTTCATCTTCCTTCTCCCTGCCCCTCTGCCTACCCATTCATCCATCTACACATTCCTTCCCCCACCTACCCCTCATCCTACCCACCCATCCACTCACCTATCTGCCCACTCATTCATTCATGCATACATTCATCCAGCTGCCATTCATCCATCCCATGACCCATCTATACTTCCATTCATCTCTTGATTAATCCACCCTCTCAAGATCCACCTAGCCATCCATTCACTCCATTCACCTATTCACCAACCTCTCCATTAATCCTTGTATCTATCCACCTAGTCATCCATCCATCTAACCACCCATTCACCTTCCCGCCCCATCCACTCATCTATTGACATTTTTTATCTATCTATTTACCCATTTACCTACCCACCTACCCATCCACCTATCCATCCACTAATTTTTCCCATCCATCCATCCACCCATCCATCTCCCTATACAATGGCAATATTGCCCAGCACTATTGAAACTGTCTAGAACCCATCAGGGAGAGGTCTGGGGTTATGGCTAGAATCCCCTAATGAGAGGTTGACCTATGTGACCTTAAACATGTGACTGAATGTATCTGGACTGGTGGATTCTAGGTAAGTGTTCTACCACCGAACCGCATCCCTAAACGCTCATTGGAATTCTAGGCAGGTGCTCTGCCACTGAGTCACACCCCAAGCCCCTCACTGGGGACTTCCAGGCAAGTGCTTGGTCGGTTTTAGGCAAGTTCTCTACTGAAGAGCCCAGCTTCTCACTGTGACAAAAAGTGCCAGTAAGTCCTACGCAAATGTGTCCTGATGAGTCATTGCTGGCTCCATGGGATTTGGGTAAATGGTGAGAGCTCCGGAAGGGGGCTCCAAGTAAGGGCTGCAGGGGTTGGAATAAGCCTGGCTTGTGCTGGGAACATGGAGTGCCTGGCTGGAGATGTGGGCACAGGAAGAATGCTGAGGGGTGGGCCTTCTGTATGCCTGTTGCACCCCTCATTCACTGCGGCTCACCTCTTACGAGTTCCAGCCATTAGGGAGGCTGTGGGGGAATCCCCCATGGAGGGGCTGGAGCAGTTCAGTCGTGGATCACTCCCCCAGCGGGGCAGCAGGGAGGACTCAGGGATGGGGGGCGACAGGCCGTGGAAGCTCCGAGCACGGGGTCTTCGGGCCACCCCAGGAGGTCTGCGGTGGGTTCTGGGCAATTGCTCGCTGGAGTTGAGCTGGAAGTCATCATCCATGGAGATGTAGGGAGCCAGCATCTCCAAGTCCAGAGCGTCAGGGTCCTGTAAGGGGGCAGGAGGGAGTTTACAGCAGGAGTCACGGCCTGGGTGGGCGGTCCTAAGCTGGATGCTGGCTGCTCACTCCTCTGAGGTGTTTGCCTGAAGAGCTGTTTTTCCCGCCCTATCTCTCAAATGGGTACAAAGACCCATTTGAGAGGCAGTTAGTTCCCGAGGTGCTTCAACGATTTTCCTTGGGTCCAGTCCCCTTCCACAATGGTCAACCGGGTGGCCTGGGTTTACAAGGACATGATCCTGCGCGTCTTTCCCATCTAGCTGTAAGGCATGATAGCTGTCATCTGTGTTATTCTCTCTTTGTCTCTCTGTCTGTGTTTTTGACCATGCCTCTCCAGCTCTGCCTGTAGCTGTCTTCCTGTCTCTTCCTTCTTTGTCTCTGTCTTTCACACTATCTCTCTCTCCCCCTTCTTCTGTCTCTGCTTAAGCCCCATCTCTTCTCTGTCCCTCTCCTTGCCCGTCTCTTTGTCTCTCAGAGCATCATTGCCACTGCCCCCCATCACTGTCTTTTTTCTCTGTCTCTATCTGGATGCCTGTTTCTCTGCCTCTTCCTGTGGTCCCCCGCCCCCAGGTTTCTCCGCATTGCCTTGGCTGTCCTGGAACTCACTTTATAGAGCAAGCTGGCCTCAAACTCACCTGTCTCTGCCTCCTGAGTGCTGGGATTAAAGGCTTGCCTTTCTCTCTTACCTTGACTATCTCTGTCATTTTGTATATTTCTTTCTGTCTCTCTCTCTCTTCCCCTCTCTGTCCTGTCTTCCTTTTCCAAACCCCAGTCAATGAAACAATGGTCTATGTATCCAATTATCTATCTATCTATCTATCTATCTATCTATCTTCATCTACTCAAACATCCATCTACCCATATGTCCATCCATCATCCACCCACCCACCCACCCACCAATCATCCATCCATCCATCCACCACCCTTCTGTAAAGCTGGATAAGCTGACCCCTCCATGCCAGTCCTTACCTGAGCTCTATCTAGATCTGTCTCCGCAGTCTTGTTTTTCCGGGCAGCAGAGAGTCTGTATGCCTTCTCTAAGCCCCTGTGCAACTGATCTGGGAGATCAGCCTGGAGGGAACCGAGCAGAAACACCAGAGATTGAGTCTGGAAGTGCTTTCAGTAAGATCTTCGGCTGGAGCTTGCAGGTGGTCAAGGGTCAAATAGCAATGCAAACAAAGGTGCTTTTGTTTGTTTGCTTGCTTGTTTTTGTTTTTTGGAGACATTGTTTTATGTATTTCAAGGTGACCCCTGAATTCCCAATGTAGCCAAGGAGGAGGAGTTGGAATTTAGGATCTTCCTGCCTCCAGTTCCCAAATTCTGGGATTGCAGGTGTGTCTCATCATTTCATTCTTGGCTCTATGTATCTATCTATCTATCTACCTACTTACTTTGAGGCAGGGTCTGTGATGGTTAGGTTCGTCAACTTGCCACAGCCTAGAATCACCTAGTAAGAGGCATTGTTTATATTGAGTTGTCTTCTGGATATGTCTGTGGGTGATTGTCTTAATTAGTTAATTGAAGTAGGGGCTGGAGAATTGCTTGGTGGTTAAGAAAATTTGTTGCTTTTCCAGGGAATCCAGGTTTGATTCTTAGCATCCACATGGTGGCTCAAAACCATCCAATAACCCAGTCAGTTCTGGGATGTCTGATGCCCTCTTCTGACTGCCACAGGAGCCAGGCACACATGTGGTATGCTTACATGCATACATGCAGACACACACACACACACACACACACACACACACACGCACGCACGCACGCACGCACGTGCGCAATTTAAACTTAATTATGAGAAGACCCAGCCCACTGTGGGTGACACCATCCCCTAGTCAGGGGGCCTGAACTGCCTAAGGATGAAGAAATGATGCCAAGCACACGAGAGCATGCCTCCATTCATTCCTCTCTGCCCCTGACTATAGGTATGATATGACCTACTGCCACTGTGACTTCCTTGCAAAGATAAAATCCAGAATTGCAAGCCAAAATAACCCCCCCCCCAAGTTGCTGTTTTGAATGTGTGTGTGCTCGTGAATGCACATGAGCGCAAATGCCCACAGAGTTCAGATCCTCTGGAGCTGGAAGGGATTGTAGGTGGTTGTGAGCCATCTGATGTGGATGCTGGGAACCGGACTCTGATGCTCTGCAGGAATAAGCATCTTAACCCTGAGCCGTCCCTCCAGCTTCCCCCTTTCCAGGACAGTTTATCACAGGAACAGAAAGGAGACTAGAACAGGGTCTCATTCCAGGCAGGTCTGGAATTCACTACATCGCTAAGGCTGGCCTTGAACTGTCCCTGCTTCAGCCTCCCAAGTGCTGGTATTGCTGTTTAGTTTTTTTTTTTTTTGAAGCAAGGGTTCACTGTGTAGCTTAGGCTGGCCTTAAACTCAATCCTCCTGCCTTAGCTTCCCGAGTACTGGGGCCTGGCTGTGTGCCACCATACTTATCTTGTGACCTATGCCTTAGAGAAACCCCGTCTCATCCTGTACATGGAGGAAATTGAGAACAAACAACATCAAGACTCAAGCCAGAGGCCCAAGCAGCACAGGTTCTGTGTGTTCAGGGAGGTGAGTGACACTGTTTACCGGAAGAGGACTTTGGGGTCTCCGGGTAGCCTGTGGGGTGCTGGGGGTGGCGGCTATGGGAGGCCCATCCAGGATGGGTGCCATGAGGCGGCGCAGGTCTGGGCTACAGAAACGGCGAGGGTCAGCAGCCAGGGAGGCCTCACTCAGGGCCGGAGGGTGCAGAAAGGCCAGGATCCGGGGAGCAGGTGGGTCTGCAGGATGAACAGAACACAGTGAGATCACACAGGGCTGAGGACCAGCCCCTGCTCTGCTGTGCTCAGCCTGGTCGATGATGGTGAGGATGGCCGTTGTGTTCACTGCTGGGGAGGAGCGGCTGAAGGGCTTCATTCTAGGCCATTTCACAGACAGATTGCTATGGAGCCCGGGAGGGTCCTTGGGGAAGGAAGGGCCTAGTGGCTGCAAACAGCATCTGGACATCGTGTTCCAGGGTGTTAAGGCTGACTGGAGGTCTCCCCTCCCCCACTAAGGAATAGGGAAGTGTGAGCAGTAGAGAAGCACAGGAGGAGGAAGAGAAGGCGACAAGAAACTCAAGCGATCATCTCCCTCCCGGATACAGGGATCCTTGGATGGGGAACCATGGCGGATTCCATGGCAGGCGAGGGAGACCGAGGCAGGGGGGACAAACACGCCAGGCAGACAGAGCTTAAGTGAGAAGTGTTATTAGAAATGGGAGGGAGGAAGAAGGAAAGAGAACAGAGGTAAAGAGACACAGACAGGACAGAAGGGAAGAGGGAGACAGGAAAAGTCCTGTCTGCCCCAAGAGAACAGCGGGAAGAGAGAGGGAAGAGAGCGTAAGTGGGCGGGGTCTGTCTTTTAAAGGGTCCTTTGCACCTGCGTGCAGACTATGCAACCATGGAATCCTGGGCTGACCAGTGCACTGCCTCAGTGCATTCTCCCAGGTGACAGGGGCAGGCCAGCGTACTGCCTGAATCCTTACAGGGAGGATGGAAGGGAAAACCATTCTAATGGAGGAACTGCATTCGGGACGGCAGCGAAGGGGTGTGTGTGTGTGTGTGTGTGTGTGTGTGTGTGTGTGTGTGTGTGTGTACAGCTCAGTGAGCTGTGTGAATGGTGTGACCTTTCTTCTAGGGGTCCCGAGGACGCAATGGCCTTGATCCATACCTAGATTGTTGCCAGGGATACCCTTCTGCGAGAAGGTGCCCCGTTGAGGGGGTCTGCGAGTGTGCTGTTCTGTTTGTTCCAGGGACAGCACCACTCCAGTCTCTTCTATCCGGCTTGGGTGGGGGAGGGGGAGGGGGAAAGCAAGAAGAATGGTAGTCAGAGAGTGCCCTTGCCCACCCACCTGCCCCCACAATGCGTTCTCAACAGGGTTTATCTTATTTGTTTTGAGATGAGTCTCGCGTAGCCCAGGCTGGCCTCAGGTTCAGTATGTAGCCATGGAAAACCTTGAACTTCTGATTCTCCTGTCTGATTCTCCTGTCTTCACTGCCTGAGTGCTGGAATTACATGGCCCATACACCAAGCTCAGGCCATGGGGTCTGAGGCTGGAACTGCAGGCTTCGTGCATGCTAGGCAAGCATTCTACCGACTGAACTACATCCCTAGCCCCGCAGAAATGATATTTAGGATAAGGGACACTCAACCTATAATGACATTTATTTACTTATGGGCTTGTTTGTTTGTTGTGCTGGGGATTGAACCCAGGACCTCATGCATGCTAGGCAAACCCTCTTCCACTGAACTATGTCCTTAGCTCCTGCAGTGGTGTTGAAAAGAAACTTAAAAGCCTGGATTGCTGGAGCCAACATACATTCCAGTACTTGAGAGGCTGAGGTAGGAAGTTTGAGAGTTAGAGGTTAGCTTGAGCTACTGCCATGAGACCCTATCTCAATAAGACAAAACAGAACAGAACGCGTTAGGACTGATGGCTTCTGCCTGTAATCCCAAGACTTGGGAGGCAGAGGCAAGAGGATCAGGAGTTCAAGCTTAGTCTCAGCTACACAGCGAATTTGATATTGGTCTGCGCGGTAGAAAACTGCGTCTCCAAAAAACTAAAAAACAAACAAACGAGCAAACAAAACAAAAAAAAAAAATCCAATGCCCCCAAAACCATTCTTCATTACATTTCCAAATATGAAGATTTCATAGCTATATTTCTATGAATAAGCATTTATTTGAGAAGCTTCTATTCATAGACATCTCCATCCTCAAGGGAACAGGTTTATAAATACATCCTTTTTCTGTCCCCCACACCTCCCATCCCACAGTCTCTGGCTCTGGAGACAACCCAAAACTGGCTGGATAAATTGGCTTTGGGGGAGTGGGTTAATTTGCATCTCATTAGCATAAGCATCCCACAGGGCAGAAGGCAGGTGGATCTAGGGCTTCCTGCAGCTCTGGGAGAAGTTATGATTCTACCCTCACTGAACCTGTCCTGGAGATGTACCAATTTATCCCCTTGAAAGACAGAATGTGCATAGCCACACGGGCATACACTCGATAGACACAGACATAGAGGAACACCCGTAGACACCCAAGTATTTAGAGAAAAAGACACATACATGTGCAAAAAGACACCATGTACTTGCTGCCATGTATGTGCACACAGGCTATGTGGAGCTCATTCTTTTATTTATTCCACAAACACCTCCCGGTTAAGCATCCCTAACTATACAGGGGTTGATAACAAGGGCTATGAAGCTGGCAGCTTGGGTTCAAATCTCAGTTCTGCCATTTCTGAGCTGTGTGGCCTTAAACATGTGACTGAATGTCTCTGGACTTGTGCATTCTAGGTAAGTGCTTTACCATTGGGCCCCACCCCTAACTGGGGGATTCTAGGCAGGGGCTCTACCATTGGACCACACCGCTAACTCCTCACTGGGGGATTCTAGGCAGGGGCTCTACCACTGAGCCATGTCCCCAGCCCCTCACTGGGGGATTCTAGGCAGGGGCTCTACCCTTGAGACACCCCCCAGCTGCTCTCTGAGAGACTCTGTGCAGGAGTCTCCACCCTAGCCATTTCCTCAGCCTCTCACTGGGCCATTGTAAAGCAGGTGCTCCTCTAGCCTGGATTTTATCTACTTGAACTCCTAAAGGGGAAATGTGCAGCAATATGACATGTTGGTGAGGATGGGGACCGCTGGAAGTCACATACATTGCTGAAGGGAATGCAAAAATGGCACAGCACTCTGAAAACCGTTGCTCAGTTCCTTAAAAAGTTACGCTTTCAAGGAAACATATGACCCACCCATTCCACTCCTAGGAGAAATGAAAATGTTCATTCTCACACAATCCCACATGGGAATGGTTATAATGGCTGTTTGTATAATCCTCCCCCTCAGCAGGAAACAGCCCAAAGTCCCCCAGCTGGCACATGGATAAATAAACATTGGTCTATTCATTCTCTAATGACCACTCGTCACCACGAGAAGGGAACTGTTGGTCTGGACCTAGTTTATAATCCAGTACATGAGAGCTGGAGGCAGGAGGATTGCTATGAGTTTGAGACCAGCTCAACACACCAATAAATTGTTTTGTTTTTCAATCCAGGGTTTCTCTGTGTAACAGTCCTGGCTGTCTTGGAACTTGCTTTGGAGACCAGGCTGGTCTTGAACCCACAAAGATCCGCCTGCCTCTGCCTCTCCAGTACTGAGATTAAAGGTATGCACCACCACTGCCCAGCAAAATATGTATTTATTTTTATTTATGTGTATGGATATGACCTGCACCATGTAGGTGCACTGCCCACAGAGGAGGGTGCCCAATCCTCTAGGATTGGAGTTACAGATGGTGAGCCACCATGTGGATGCTGGGAATTGAACCCAGGTTCTTTGGAAGAACAGCCAGTGCTCTTATCTGCTGAGCTATCCCTCCAGCCCATAGATCTACCACCAATAATTTCTTTTAAAAAATTAGCAAAGGGCCCTGGCAGTGCACACCTTTAACCCTAACATTTAGGAGGCAGAGGCAGGTATATCTCTGTGAGTTTGTGGTCGGCCTGCTCTACATAGAGTGCTAAGACAGCTAAGACCAGTTAGAGAAACCCTGTCTCAAAAAGAAAACAAAACAGAAGAAAACAAAAACCACACACACAGAGGTGCATATGTGTATCCGTATGTCCGCATGAGTTCCACACAGGCACAGGTGTACACTTCCTCATATATTCACAATACACAGCTGTGTCCCTGCACCCCCCCCCCCACGCACACATTACACCCCTCTGCTCACCTGATCAGGAAGTGGACACAGATGATACTTTCTGATTGGGGGCCCCGCCCCCCGGTCACCACTGTGGCCTGAGTCTGAGTCCACAGGTAGCCTCCGGTCCGGGCCAGGAAGCGATACTGCCCTGTTACCGCCTGGCCCTTGCTCAGCACTGGGGAGAGGATGGGTGGGGGTCAGGAAGCTCAGGAAGCTGGAATTAGGAGTGAGAGGTCATAGAAGACAAGGCAGGCCCTAGCACTTGGGGTTCAGGGGGAGGCAAGGGTCCCACGAAGCCCAGGCTTTCTGTTCAGAGCAGGGTCTGCTGTCAGGTAGGTAGGGCCATGCAGCAGCAGGGTCTGGCCTGGGGACATGGTGGTCACCTACAAGTGTGGATGCTTCTGCTGACTGCATCAGAGTCCAGTGCGTGGATGTATTCATAGGCAGAACAGCCAATCAGGTCATCAGGGCTGTAGCCAGCGACTTCTGCGATCCTGAAGTAAAACGGAGAGGTACTGGTCAAGGCCCAGATGGAGGGAAAGGGCAGGTGTCACAGGTGTCCCAGGCGACAGCAGCAAGATAAGAGGCAGGGCAGCAACAGAAAGGCAAGGGGAGGTAAGAGACACGGAGAATAGAGTGTGGCAACTTACACCTGTAAGAACAGCATTCGGGAATGGAGCAGGGTTGTGAATTTGAGGCTTGGGAGGCAGGAAGGCCATATCTCAAAAAATCAAGGGTTCAGGTCATGCCTTAGTGGTACAGCCTAGAATTCTCCAGGGCCTGGGGCGTGGCTCAGTGGTAGATCCCCTGCCTAGAATCCCCCAGTGAGGGGTTAGAGGTGTGGCTCAGAGGTAGAGCATCTGTCAAACATGTGTAAGGCCCTGCATTCCACTCCTATCGCCACAATAAGTAAACAAGTGTAAAAAGAAATGTGTGTGTGTGTGTGTGCGCGTGTGTGTGTGCGTGTGTGTGTGTGTGTATAGGAAAGGGTGGAAAAAAGGAGCAGAGAAGATAAAGAGAATAAAGTGAAAGAAATACGAAGGTGAAGCAGACACTACAAAAAAGAAAGACTGAAAACCAGCATAGGTTGAAAACGAGACACTTGCTTTGCTATGCCCTGTGCGGACAAGGAGTGCTCAAGACGGGGGACGTTATTCCCCTCCAGGACAGCTGACACTGCTGTACAGAGAGGTGAAGTCACTTGGTCAATGTTACAGAGAAGCCAGAACCTAGAGTCACTGCATCTGAGCGTGTAGCTTACTCTGCAAAGTGCATTTGTAGGCCTGGCTTCCATCCCCAGCATGCCCATAATCCCCCCTCCTTCAGGAGGTAGAGGCAGGGCGGTTAGGCCAGAGAGAGACAGAGCGAGACAGACAGACAGGAGGCAGAGAGACAGACGGGGAGAACTTGGGTAAACCCAATGAGAGGGGATGGCGGGTGGGTGTGGTTTTGCACAAAAGCCACTGCCCACCTCTCGTCGCAGTACGTGAACTTCATGTCCAGGCTGTGGCGGCTGAGAAAGGCCCCTCGCCCCAGAGGGGGCTCCAGACTGGCTGGATGGGGGATGGCTTCACAGATAAGCACCAGGCATTGCAGGGGAGGCTCGGAGCGAGGGCTCCCGGTGGGGGAAGTCTGTGCAGGGGGCTTGTAGGCCCTCATATGTCCTGAGCAGTGCAGCACCTTTGGGTGAAGCGGGGCGTTGTGAGTACCCACCTTAGCCTTAGGCTACCCACGGGGCTGGGAGACCTGTGTCTGCATCCCAGAGGGAACTGGCAAGAAAAGATCCTTGGTTACTCTAGAAAGTCATGAGGAGCTCTGGGATCCGTGTTCTAACCCTCGGGTAGACTCATCAGGCGGCTGAGGACTTTTCCATCCTTAATGTCTGGTCCCGGGATACTCAGTTTCATAGCTACTCTAATACCCCGTGGGACTCAGTTTGAAGGAGTTCTAACACATCTCTGAGCCCGGGAGACCCCAAATCCGTTAGGGAGTGAGATCTTCAGGGGTCAGAACCCACCCGACTGAGAGCAGGCCCAGCCTACCTTCCAAGTGGCAGCTTTGAGGTTCAGCGTGCGCCCCCTGCTGGTAAGTGTGCTCTTCATACGCAAGGAAAAGTGGCGCTCTGTGCGGGCTTCCAGCTTCTTCTTGGACAGGCCTGGGAAGGCACAGAGAAGGGGACATGTCACCAAGTGAATGTTAAACTCTCCCCAGCCTCAGCCATGGCTTAACGGTTAAGAGCGTGTACTACTCCTGTAGAGAACCTGAGTTTGCATCCCAGAATCGATGACAGGCACCTCACAACCATCTGTAACTCCAAAACCCATGCCTGGCCTGTGAAGACACCTGCACTTACCGTACATGCACAATTACCCCCCTCCCTCGTCCCCCCTACCCCCATCCTACTTAAAAGAAAACAAAAATAAAAGCTTTCCCTCCCTCCCTCCCTCCCTTCCTATTTTTTGGAGACAGGATTTTACTTAGGTTTTTTTTTTTTTTTTTTTTTTTTTTTGCTGTCCTGGAACTCACTATGTAGGCCAGCCTGACTTTGAACTCACAAAGATGTGTCTGCCTCTGCCTCCCCAGTACTGGGATTGAAGGCGTACATCACTATACCTGGCACATCTTAAAGTATCCCCCAGCCTCATTCCCAAAGCTGGGGCCTGGAACCAGGAATGGGAGCACCCAGGGAAGGGAGCACCCAGGGAAGGGAGCACTCAGGGAAGGGAGCACCCAGAGAAAGGAGAACCCAGGGAAGGGAGCACCCAGAGAAGGGAGCACCCAGGGAAGGGAGCACCCAGGGAAGGGAGCACTCAGGGAAGGGAGCACTCAGGGAAGGGAGGACCCAGAGAAGGGAGCACCCAAGGAAGGGAGCACCCAGGGAAGGGAGCACCCAGGGGAGGGAGCATTCAGGGGAGGGAGCACTCAGGGGAGGGAGCACTCAGGGCACAGCTAGTTCTCTCCACTTTTCTCCATTCAGGTGTGCCAGATCAGGGAGGGGAGGGCTGTCTGTTTCCTACCCTAAACAGTGGGGTCTGGGCTTGCAAGGCACTCACTTGGCCTGGGGGTCAGGGCATCCTGCAGTTCCTCTTGGTCACAGGGATGGATAAAATCAAAGATACTGTGTCCGATGAGCTCCAGCTGCGGGGAAGGGCAGAGTTTTTGGTGAAGACACATTTAACAGGATCCCTGGGCTGGCTTCTTCTTCCTCTCTCTGCTTATCTTTTTTTTTTTTTTTTTTTTTTTTTTTTTTGTCCCAAGTCAGGAGTCTGGTTGATGTCATCAGCTTCCTCAGTCACTCATTCACTTACTCCTCCATTCAGCACCCAGTTATCAGCACCCAATATTTGCTAGGACCCTTCCTAAATGGAAGGACCAATCATAGATGGATCTTTGCCTTTTGGGGTTTAATGGGTGGTGCATGCATATGTGTGTCTGGGGAGGCATCGGGGTAGGTTCACATGATAATGAGGTACTAATTTAAAGACAGTGGGCCCAAATAGTTTCTTTGAGAAGGTGACATTAAAAAAAAAAAAAGGTGTTGGGCTGGAGATGTGGCTAAGTTAGTAGTATGCTTGCTTAATTTGGATCAGGCCTTGGGTTTGATACCAGACACAGCATCTGGGCCCTGCGTCAAGTATCTATAATTCCAGAAGTGGGGATGTGGAGGTAGGAGGGTCAGAAGTTCAAGGCTGTCCTCAGCTATAGAGTGGGTTTGGGGCTAACCTGGGCTATGTAAATGCTGTTCCAAGGTTTGGGGAAGCTCAACAAAGTAAGTAAAGTGAATCAGTCTGTGGCTCTCTGGAGTAAGGGAATTCTTTAAAAATGGGAGTTTGCAGGGTGGGGTGACCTACACTTTTAATCCCAACACTCGGGAGGCAGAAATGGGTGGATCTCTGTGAGTTCCAGGCCAGCGTGGTCTACATGTTGAGTTCCAGGCAAGGTAGGGCTACATAGTAAGACCCTGTCTCAAAAGGGGGTGGGGTGGGGTGGGGAAGAGACAGCTCATTGGTTAAGAGCAGTGTCTGCTCTTACAGAGGACCTGGGTTCAGTTCCCAGGACTCATATCAGGCAGCTGACAACTGCTTGTAATTCCAGTTTCGGGAGATCCAATGTACCCTTCTAGCCTGATATGCACACGAACGATGTACATACATGTATTCAGTGCCCACAGGCCATGCATGCAATGCACACACACACACACACACACACACGCACGCACGCACGCACGCACGCACGCTCTCTCTCTTTCTCTCTCTCAGGGCCCCTCCACATACATATAGAATAGTGATAAACAATGTTTTTTCTACAAATGAAAAAAAATGAAAATGAAAACCAGGAGTTACAAATCTGAAGGGTGAGCCACACCTGGGCAGGTCAGAGGTCTGTTACTTGCTTCAGTTTAGCAAATGAGCCCGGTACTGGGAGGGTAGATGGGACACGGAGGAAAAGCCACCCGCCCGTAGTGGGATCCGACCCAGCGGTGTGTGGGTGACAGAGTGCCCTTCCCCAGACACCTCTTGTAGCTGGGTTTGAGGGTTGGCTCTATCGTTTTCTAGTTGGGGACTTTGGGACAGTCACTAGTCTGACTCTGAGAGTTGACACGCACAGAGAATTTGGTACCAGAGTGGGGACATGCATCGGGGAGAAGGAACAGGGTCCACAGCCATTTACATGAAAGAGAGAAAAAAGAACACAAACTTTCTCACACAGGGTTTACTCTAAAGATGAACTAAAGTTAGTTCTAGTCCCCAGATGTCTTGCTCAGGTCCTCTTCCCCTCCCCCCCAGGCAGGTACCCACTCCCTGCTGGCCCCCTAACCTCTGTCTCTTGCTTTGACTGCTTCTATGGCTCCCCAGGACCTTGGCGCCAAACCCTCCCATCTGCACACACATGATGAATCTGTTGAACCGTGTGACCTTGTTATCCCCTCCCAACTTCTTCCGCTGTCTTCACGATGAACTCAGTCGTTTCTCCAAGGTGTTACATTTCCATCTCACCTCCCGGCCTTTGCCTGTGCCAGCGCTCCTCACAGGCCCGCCCTTCATATTCTTTATGACTGGCTAAACCATTCGGGTTTCAACCGAGATGCTATGTCCTCCAAGCAGCCCCCAAGTCCACTTCCTTGCCGGCTAGACAGCCGCGGCCACTCGGCTCCACATTCCCTGCATCTAGGCTGTCCCATCACAGCTTTGACCATCTGTCTGGTGGCGTTCCTATCTCCCCTCTGCCACACCGTGAGCTTCACAAAGGAAGTACCAAGGTTGTGAGGAACCACGGTCCCCCACCCCCCACCCCCAGCATCACCAGGGAGGGAGGAGCAGGTACAGAGCAGGCAGCTCACCTGACTGAGGCCCAGGTGCTTGCTGACGTTTTCCGACAGGTAAACCATGTCTCCCTCGGCGGTGAGTACCATGACGAACCCCTCCAGGGCCTTCAGGTAGCAGGCGTCCAGTGGCTCTCCTCCTGTTCCCACCTGGTTCCACTCCCCTGGTGCCCGAGATGAGACGGAGGGGAAGAGGAGGGGGTGTGGTCAGTCATGGATCCATCCTCCATCTTTCCTCACCCACATGAACTTATAGAAATGCCCAGGAGAGTGGAGGGGGATTCTAGAGGCTCAGAGTCCCAAAGAAGAGGGCCAGGCCACTAAGCTTTGGAAAGAGGAACGTGGACTCCGGGAGGGGACAGAATCTCTCAAGATTCTAAGACTGAACTCTCTGATGAGTTGACTTCGGGGGCGGGGTGGGGAGAGGGGGATGCACTTGTAATTCTTAGAGTTATGAGTTTTCTAGAATTCTTGGGGGGAGGGTATGGATGGCCTGCCCAGATGGGCAGAATTCTAAAACGTTAGGGGCTTCCAGAAGACAGAATCCCATCACGTTTTATTTATTTATTTACTTCCTATGCACGTGGAGGTCCGAGGACAGCTGACAGAATTCTAAAGGGGCACCTCTCACCTCCTTCGAATTCTATGGGGCAAGGGAATTTTTTGTTTTTGTTTTTTGAAACAGGGTTTCTCTGCATTGTCCTGGAACCAGCTCTGTAGACCAGGCTGGCCTTGAATTCTCAATACATCGGGCTGCCTCTGCTTCCCGACCAATGCCCGACGGGCAAGGGATTTAATGGGCACACGCTCAAAGCTTTTCAGTTTTTTAGGAGAGTGTTTCTGCCTGTGGCTGCTAAGAAAATAAGAAATAGAACTAGAGGAGAGGGGAGAGGGGGAAGAGACGCTTTAAAAGAAGTTTTGCAAAATGGTTGTGGAGCCCGCCCTTGGGGTGGACAAGGGCTGGCTAATCTTGGTGGTTATGTGAAGCTGAGGCAGAAGGATCAAAAATTGAAGTCTTGTCTGGCCTACCAAGTTAGATGAAGGCCAGCTTGAGCAACCTAGTAAGACCCCGTATCAAAATAAAACAATAAAGAGGGCTGGGGGCGTGGCTCAGTGGTAGAGCCCCTGCCTAGAATCCCCCAGTGAGGGGCTGGGGTGTGGCTCAGTGGTAGAGGCCCTGCCTAGAGTCCCCCAGTGAGGGGCTGGGGGAGTGAGTGTGGAGTGTTTGGGTGCCACACCCCTTGGATTTGGGTTCAATTTCCAGTATGGCAAAAAAGAGAACAAACACATAAATTTCCCATGTGGTGGTGCATTCCTTTAATCCCAGCACTTGAAGGGGGGGGGGTGAGTGGGTGAGCAGAGGCAAACAGATCCCTGCGATTTCAAGGCTAGTTTGCATAACAATTTCCAGGCCAATCAAAGCTACACAGTGAGATTCTGTCTCAAAAAAAAAAAAAAAAAAAAAAAACCCAAAAGTTAACAAACAAACAAACAAATCAAGAAACAAAAAGAAAAACACAAAATTAAGGGGGTAGAGACTTGGTCTTTGGTGGACACTAATGACCAAGCATGAGGCTTCAAGGATTCTAAGGGGTGGAGCATCCCAAGGGGGTCTTTCTGAACCCAGGGCTCCGATTGGTTCAGCACTCAAAGGGTCCTCATCCAGAGAGATTCTAGAGCAAGGGAGGCGGGAAAGGCTTCCCAGGGGCGGGGCCTTCTCAGCGGGCACCGGGGGTGGAGATGGGGAGGTGGTGGGGAGGGGTGGCGGGGTGGGAGGGTTGCTTTTCCCGGCTCACCTGCAGCACAGAGGCGGTGCATGCGCAGGTAGCTGATGGTGAGGCGCATGATGGAAGCCTTGTCCAGATGCGCGCTGACACCGCGCGCGAAGGGGAGCGTGTGCGCCAGCTGGTACAGCACCTCCGTCTCCTGACTGCGCCGGCTGCGCGCCGCATCCCGGGACTTTTCCTTCCGCAGTTCTGTGCTCGACCTGTGGAAAGGAAATTGCACGCGACAGGTCACATGTGGGTCCACTTGGGGCCCCGGCGACATCGCTGGATCCCGGCCGCTTCTCCCTTTGAAGCCCCAGATTTCTCCTGTCTTGGTCCCAGCCCATGTGGCCCTCCCTGAAGGGCTTTGCTTCAGGCTAACCCCTCAGGATGTGAGCCTGAAGCCTCCCGTCCTTTCCAGGACTTATCTGCAGCTCATTTCCCCGAGCTAGAGAAGCCGCCTGGGGGAAAGGGAGGCCTCCCGATGGGAGGGGTGGTAGAGCTGAGTCCAAAGGCGAAAGGAGCGCGGAGAACCGGCACCCTTCCAGGCTCCTTTCCCTCCTTAGACAAGCTGAATCTCACAGAGATATCTCAGAGCCTAACGACACACCAAAGGGGCCTTAAGAGGGGCAGGGCCCCACTAAGGGTGACGCAGCAAACCAATCCCTGTATTTTCTGTCCAGCATCTCTGCCCTTTAATACACTTCAAATGCCTGCCGTGTGTGTGTGTGTGTGTGTGTGTGTGTGTGTGTGTGTGTGTGTGAGAGAGAGTGAGAGAGAGAGAGAGAGGAGAGAGAAATAGAGAGAGCTTTCACCAGTAATATTAATATCTATCAATTATCCATTTCCACTATTAGGTCATTTTCCCTACCAAGTGCCAAACCCATTTAAAACCCCGGGGCATAGTGGTGCAAGCCTTTAATCCCAGCACTTGGGAGGCAGATCTCTGAATTCCAGGACAGCCTAATCTACATGTCCAGGCCAGTCAGAGCTACATAGTGGGACCCTGTCTCAACAACACACAAGCAAACAACCAAATGAAACCTCAAACTTTATCTGACACCATAGTCTATTTGACAGGGTGTCCCTATGTAGGTCAGGCTGGCCTTGAACACCTGATCCTTCCTTGTGCCTCTACCAACCAAGAGCTGGGATTATAGGTTTGTGCCTCCACACTTGATTTCTGTGTCTCTTTTTGAGTATTTTCTTTTCTCCTTTTAAAAAGAGGTATATTGCCCGGGTGGCGGCGGCGGCTAATTTATTTATTTGGCAACAGCTCTGGCTGTTCTGGAACTCACTCTGTAAACCAGGCTGGCCTCGAACTCACAGAGATCTGCCTGCCTCTGCCTTCCTAGAGCTGAGACTAAAGGTGTGCGCCACTGCACCCATTTATTGTTATTTGAGACGGGGTCCTATGTAGCCCAAGCCAAGGATGACCCTGAGTGTCTGATCTTGCCTCCGCCTCTTGAGTGCTGGGATTATAAATGTATAGGCATGCCACTATGTCTGGCCTGGACAGGGGAGGGGGCGAATTTAAAACCCACTTTGCAAAGAGGAAATTGAGGCTCTGGAGGGTGAAGTTCTTTACCCGAGAGATCACACAACCAGTACCTGGCTGAGCCCAGTCAATGAGGTACCTAAGCTTTTCTCTAACTAACTCCGTGTGAGGACTGCCCCCATCCCAGGGAGCCGACTGCCCTTTCCTAATAGTCATCAATTCAGAGAGCAGAGGCCACTTCTAGGGGTGGGAGGGCTACAAAAATGCTCCAGTCTGGGTGCGGGGGTGGGGTGGGGGGTGGGCTGGGCTGGGCTGGGGAAGCCATTAGTGCAAGGCTGTGTGAGGCCCTGAAGGGGGCAGGCTGGCTTAGTACTGGAGGAGCCGAGGGGGCGCCCGCCCCCATGAACTCCCTCTTGGCTGGTGGGGGCAGGGGCCTCAGTCCTGCCTGCCCAGAGGACATTCCGTCCTGTACTGTACTGTTCCAGCCCTGTTTGTCTTCCTGCCCAGAGGGTGGGGGTGGGCGGGCCTCACTGAGCTGGGGGCCCTGGGACAGAGGGAGCCGGCAGAGGGAAGGGGAGTGAGGTGGGGGTGGGACCGGCGCCCCACCTCCCAGGCAGCTGAGCTCTGTAATCCTACTCTGCGTGGCTAGGGTGGCAGGGTTTCTTCCTCCATAGCAGGAGCCAGCTGGTGGCTGTAGAGGGACCCTCCTTCCCCTCTCAGCCTGTTCTCCGGATGTTCTGACGGGAAGTATGGGCCTCCCGCTGACTCTCTGGCCTTACTGTGAAACAGTGAGGATTGCCTCTTCTGGGTCAGGGTTCCAGTTCTGACACCATGATCGCCCTTGCTCTTTAGCTGTGCGACTTTGGGCAGGTTGCTTAACCTCCCTGGGGACAGTAAAGAGCCCCCCACCTCCGCAAAAGGTGGTTTTTTTGATTGTGTGGCTCAGACAGGTCTGACTCTTAAGATCGCCCTGCTGTAGCCTCTTCCCTGGGTGCTACGGTCATAGGACTGTGTGAACATGATGGATTCCTCCCGTGGCTGGAAGATTAAATGAGTTAATATATGTCAGAAGCTTAGGAAGCAAGGCTCGGCAATTGGCTAGTGTTAGTAATGAAAGGCTCTAGTTTACGAGGCTTTTGTACCCTGGAGTAACCTATGGGCCTCCGAGTGTGCAATTACACATGTGCAATTAGTCATGCATGCAAGCATTTGTGTGTGTGATCATGAGTGTGTAAGTACATGCCCAGCTTTGACACAAACGCTTTAAAGGAATAGAGTAACAGTGATGGTGTGTTGCACACTCAGAAACCAGAGACTCTCCCCTCCCCCAATGCAGACTTAGGACTGTCACATGCAGAAGTGACAATCTCCCTTTTAAAAAGGCAGAAACAGGGCCCTGAACCCACCTGGTGGAAGGCCAAGGTGTCCTCTGACCTCCACACTCCCAAAGACAAGCACGAAACCCCTCCCCCATCCACACAGATATGGAAATAAATAAATGTCATTATTTTTTTTTTTAAAGGTAGAAATAGGGCCTGAGATGTATGTAGCTCAGTGGGTGAGGCATTTGCTCGAAGTACTACATAAACAGGGTGTGGTGGCACCAGCTTGCAACTCCAGCACTAGGGAGGTGGGCCCAGAAGGATCAGGAGTTCATGCTCACCCCTGGATATAGGGAGTTCGAGATCAGCCTGTCTCAGAGTCTGGGGTTCAGAGCAATGATACCCCTGGCCTGTGTGGACTCATCCCCAGTCCTGTCTGCCCTGTTTAGCTGCTTCTCAGTTAAGCACCCCTCCCCCCTGCACCCATTATTACCTTCCCGCTTAAGGAAGCCACCTCAGAGAGGTGATAAAGTTGCCGGAGGCCACATAACATAATAATCCCTTGGAAAGTCAGGTCTGTTGACTTCTGGCACCTCCTTGGGTATGGGGGGGGTACGGGAGGAGGGACACATGTTTCCTCACTGGGAGAGATTTGACCCCCATTATCCAAGACTTGAAGTGAGCGCCCAGGGAAGGAAATCCCTGGGCCAAGATCCCACTCCTTGGGGGATTTGGACCCTGACTTTAGGGCCTGTGTTCTAAAATGTTGATTCTTCAGGAGGGTGTGCCCACAGCCATGGGACCCCTGCCTGCTCCTTTTTGCCTGGTGGCCTAAGTCTTCTTCCCCCATACCAGAGCTGCTGCAGATCTCCTTGGCTGGCCCAGCTCTGGTCCAACCCCTTGGCAGTGTGCCCAGCCTGGGACGTGCGCCTGGAACTTTGCCACCCTTACTCGGTGTTCTAGCTGAGAACAGAGGGTGTGGCCAAGAGGCCCAGGGTGAGGCCTGGGAAGAGAGACTTGGGGCCCAGGGCCCCTTAGCCAAGAGAGAAAAGACCCTGTCCCTTTCCCCATCCTGAAAGGCTTAGGAGATGAGGAGAGCCTCTTTCTCACACTCTGGCCTTCTGACTCTCAGCTCGGTATGGGGGGGCTTAGCTTTATATCTGGGCAGAGACCCCCTTTTCATGCTGCTTGGAGGTTACCTGAGAGGCCAGGCCGCAAGGTTTGGGTCAGAGAAAGGACTTGGGGTAGGGGTCAGCGCGGAGCCTCTCTGACTTTGACCTAACTTGCTCTCAAGTATGGTCATGTGGTTATCCTGTGGGGTGCCAGTCACCAGTCCTGTCTTTATGGGGATCCCTGCTTTCAGGTGGGTACATGATGGCAATGCTGTCATTATGGATTTCCCAAGAATGCTCCCACGAAGGGTTAGATGGCTGGAAGCCGAAAGCTAGAAGAAAGAAGGGGGCAAATGGCTGGAAGGGAACCACTTACCATTACCCAAGCCCCCTCGGATGCCAAGTGACATCCCGGGGGCGCAGCGGAAGCCCGGAGCACAGCCAGGAGGCGGGTGCGAGTTACTAGTGGGAGTGTGGCACGGGATGACACCACAGGAAAGGGCTGGCCTTGGGTGCAGAGGGGGGCCACCCTAGTTTTGTTAAGAGAGGCTCCTCACGCAACCATAAGGGGACGCTCTTACGGGCTGTGCCAGGGCTGGCCTAGAAGAGGTGGGGATGGAGTTCCCTGGTGGGCTCAAAGCCGGAGATTAGAATAGGACTGGAGAACAGGAGTGGGGAGCTGGGTGAGTTGAGGTGGGGGTAAAGTGGGGTGTAGACAAAACCAATCAGACCTAGAGAGCCGGAGAGGAGGGGCTATGGCGACAGGGAATGCCAAGGGTCTAGGGTGGTTTTCTGGGGTCTCCCGTGGTGACCTGGCTATGGTCCCAGGGCCTTTGCACCTGTTGCAAGGTGAACACAGAATCCAGCTATTCCCAGGATGGCCCTGCTGTACCGGGCCACAGGAAGGCGCCGCATCCCTTGCTTGCTCAGCCAGGGCATCTCTCTGAAGGATGTCCCTCTGAAGGATGTCCCTCAAATAGGGTTTGGGTGGGGCCCTTCTCCCTCAAGTACAGACTGGGTGGGGGCAGATGAATGAGACACAGAACCAGGCTTTGGGAAGTAGGTCCGGCTTTTTCCGTTGGTATTAAAAAAGGGTGACCCTACTTTTTTTTTTTAAGTTCTTCCTTCCTTCCTTCTTTCTTCCTTTCTTTCAAGATAAAATCTCTCTATGTGTAGACCAAAGCTGGTCTGGAACTTGCCATGTAGGCCAGGCTGGCTTTGAAATCATCATTTTCCCGGTTTCCCAAATGCTGG